AATCCAGGACCATATCTCTGTAGTTTCCTGTAGTTCATTAACCTGTCTTTGTTTTCCATGACTTTGACATTTTTGAAAACTGTAGTCCAGTAATTACATAGACTATCCCTGCATTATGTAGAATTTTTCTCAGTTTATCTGATGCTTCTCATGCTTGGATTCTCGTTGTTTTTCTGCCAGCAATACTACATGAATAATGTTTCTTTCTCAGTGCATCATATCAGGAGACATGTTCTATCAATTTGACACATTACTGGTAATGCTAAAATTTTGAGAGCTTGGTTAACGGGAATGCACCCAGTTTCTCCATGACCAAGATTCTATTTTTCCTTTTGTGACTAAGAGGCGCGTTTGTGGAGGAGATGCTTTGATAGCATGTAAATATCTCATTCCCAATCAAACCAGAGCCACAAGTACCAGCATCCATTGATGATCCTTGTACGAATCAATTATTGACATGAAGGTTGAGAAACTATTTCTTTAGGTGATTTAAGCTTATTCCTTTTTCCTTGTAACCAAAAGAACCCGACTAAAACAAAAGTTAGAAACAGAAGTGGGGTTTCATGAAACTGATCCTATGTGTCAGGAGGGGGAATGGGATGTTTCTATCCAGTGTTTGCATGGCAAAGCCACTAATTGGGTGACTCCTGGGGTCCCTCGGACTCTAAGCATGGGGGCTCCATCAGTGGGGCTGCGATGATTTGGTTCCTCTAGCTCTGCATCATTTCCAGGTGGGAAATTGTTCTTTGATCTCTCCAGACTAGGTTAGTTACTGTATTACAAGTTCCTTACAACCTTCCCAAAGCTATTATGATACTTTATTTTAATGTCTATCTACCCTTCTTGAAGGCAAGCTTTGAGACAGCAGGCACTCAGAAACATAGCCCAACCTCTAAGGGGTAGAAACTGGTGCACGGATTGAGGAAGGAATGACCACATCAGATAAGACACTTCCTTGGCTTGTCTCTCTCTGTCTCATGCCTCACTTTTATATGCTTTCCCTAGTATCTTTTTTTTTATTATAGTCTTCACAATGATCCTGCCAAAATACCTGTACGTTTGCTGAGAAGATGTCATTTTTGGAGAATGTTCTTGCCCTGCTCTGTTGCTCAACAGTGCCAGCCCAGCTACATTTCTGCAGTATTCACACTCACTGTCGCCTATTTTGTTCCCTATTGTAGCTCCAGTGCCTGGCATAGTGTTTAATAAATATTGAATAAGTGAATGAATGGAAGCGGAGTAGGCAGGTAGAAATGGGTAGGGTCTTTGATGCTCTTTGTTGAGCAGAAGTTCTTTAATTTTAATGTATCCAAATCCATCAATGTTTCCTTTCATGGTTTATGGTTTGGGTATCTTGTTTAAGAAAATTCCACCCCAAGGTCACAAAAATACTCTCCTACGTTTTCTCCTGTTAGCTTTTACAGTTTTAACATGTTTTAAATTCTTTAATCCATCTGGAGTTTACTTCTGTATGTGGTGTGAGGGAGGCATACAGCTGTATGTCTTTTTTCTCCATAGCATGAGCTGGCTACGTACCGTATCTGCTGATCTAACCTGGCCTCATTGATGTCCTCTTGCCTTTATCGTGTCACAAGCTGCAGATGCACATGGGCTGTTTCTATGCTCTCTATTCAGTTTCCTGCTTTTATTTGTCAGTTACTAAATTGTATCAGTTGTGTTTTGTGCACACCCATGTGTTTGTTGTTTGTTTGCTGTAGCTTTTGTGCTGTGTTTTAACATCTGGCAGGGTGATTCCCGCCTCTTTTCTCTTCTTTTTCAAAATTGATGTGGCTGTTCATGTATCTCTCCCCTGTCATATAAATTCTGGAATAAGTTTGTCAAATTCCCCAAAACTTAACTTACATATTGTTTTAGAGAGAACTGACATCTTTATAATATTGAGTTAACCCACCCAAACAAATAGTTCATCTCTCCACTTACACTGAACTTTTATGTCCTTTAACAGTTTCAAGTTTTTTTCCATGAAGCTTTTATATAAATGTAAAGAACATTCTTAGTTAACTTAAGTTCTGAATACCTCATAGATCTTATTAGTATTTTGAATAATATTTTGTCTTCTAGAGTTCCTAGTTGATTAAAGTTGTAAAGGAGAGCTTTTAGTATTAATTTTTTCTTGTATCCAGCAAAGTCCCTGACTCTCCTATTGGTTCTAATAGTTTGCTTGTTATTTCTGATAGATTTTTCTACATTGGTAATCATATTGCTGGTAACAACAGGTTTATATTTTCCTTTCCTGTGTTCATATTGCTTATTTCATTTTCTTATCTTAGTACGTTGGTCATGACACCCAGTATTGGAGTAGTGGCAATCCCGTCTTATACGCATGTTTACAGGGAGGGCATCATTAAATATGTTAATGGAAGGGTTTTAATTTATGTTTTTCAAGTGAAATAAGTTGTTTCTATTCCTAGTTTTCTGAAGTTTTAAAAGCTAAAATTAGGCATTGCACTCCAAGTTTCTTCTATTTCTGATTATACAATCATGTGATCTTTCTCCTTTAGTCCATTAATGCAATTAATAACAGTGGTAGGTTTTCTGATGATAAACCATTTGAACTGGTGGAAATGGCCTCAGCTGCATGTAACAGAATAACAGCAATAGTATCTTAAAACCTAAAAGCAGTCCTTTTTTTTTTTCATTTTTCAGTTTTATCAGGTAGAATTGTTACAGTCTGACTGCACATATACAATATATTGCATGTAAATACATGTACACAATATACTGCACATTTAAAAATTTTTACATATATGTATTGTTCATTGTTTCTAAGAACATTTAGAGCTTTAGCTTTTTAAACTTACGTAGTTATCAAAGGAACAAAGCCAACCACAAAATAAGAATTAATTCAAAAAGATACATACACCCCGCTATTAACAACTACATTATTTCTACTTGCCAAGATATGGAAGCATCCTAAATTCACATCAATAGATGAATGGATAAAGAAGATGCAGCATATATAAGTAAGGGCAGTCCTTTCTTAACAAGCAGTCTGGAGATGGGCCACATCAGGTGGTCCAGACGCTTGGTGGTGTCATCCAATAGAAGGAGCCTGTCTTTCTAGTCTGCCATCCTTGGCCCACTGGCTTTTTGTCCTCATGCTGGTCACCTCATGGTTGCAACTTAGCTGCCAAATTCAAAGGAAAAAAATCTGTTGACGAAAGGAAGGGAGCAGGAACAGAAACACAAAACTGCTTTACCTTAAGTGACTCTCCTTTCACCAGCAAAGGATAAACTTTCCCAGGCGCTTCCTCCCCCACCAGACTTGTCCTAGTGTCATTAGTCAGAAATGGATCAGGGTGCTTCTAGCTGCAAGGGAGGTTCACATTCTGAGTGTCTGGCAGAGGAGCAGGGCATGACTGTGACTAATTGTGACTCACCCTTTAGGGCTGGGGGCACGCTGCTCCCGACAAGATGGGGTTCCATCAGGAAGGAGGACTGTGGGGTAGCCCATCAACCTTGCATTTCTAGGACAAACTTGACTTAATCCAATTGGACAATTTCTTTTTCAATAAACTTTTGGGTTTGGTTGACTAATATTTTTTTTTACGATTGTCACAGTTTTGTTCCTAAGTGAATGAGGCCTGTATTTTGATTTTCTTGTCTGTCCTTAGCTGGAGTAAAAACTTCATAATACTAGTTGGCTTGTTTTATTTTTCTGTGTTCTGGAACAAATTATATAAAATAAAGACCTACTCCCTGAAATTTTGGTGGAACTCATCCATGAAGGTACCTGGTCGTGGGTTTGCTGAGAGGAGAGAACCTTTATCACCATTTTGCTATCAGCTATTCTTTATCACTTCTTCTTTCTGCTTCAGTTTACTGATATTTCCCCCTTTTTTTGGTAAATACAGTCAGCTCTCCATATCCACGGGTTCTGCATCCTCGTCTATGGAATTCCAACTGTATTTTAAATGGCCTTTAAGAGTTATAATACTGAGGTATATGCTCTGTAAGTAGTCCCCTATTGTGCATTTAAACAATGTCTCATTTTAATTTTTTAAATGAATAATTTTTTGAATTGAGTAATAATTTATATACAGAGAAATACACAGATCTTAGATGTACAGTTTCGTGAGTTTTGACAAATGTGTCCATGGGTGTAATCACCACCCCATCAAGACAGACAACATTGTCATCAACTCCTCTGTGCCCCTTCCCGTCAGTTCTCCCAACCAAGCAACCACTGTTCTGGTTCCTGTGCAAATCTTTTGCAGGCATAAGCTTCTTTTCTCTTGGATAAATTCCTGGGGTTAGGGGGAAATGCCTGCTTTTAACTTTATAAGAAACTCCCAGTTTTCCAAAGTGGTTGTCTGTTTTACACACCTGCTTTGAGAAAGTTGAGTTCCACTTTTTTTTTTAATTGAAGTATAGTTGATTTATGATGTGTTAGTTTCAAGTGCACAGCAAAGTGATTTGGATATATATATCAATATAGTTTTTTCTTTTTTTAGATTATTCTCCATTATATGTTACTACCAGATATTGAATGTAATTCCCTGTGCTATACAGTAAATCCTTGGTGAGTTCCACTTCCTTTTTTTCTTAATTGAAGTATAGTCAGTTTACAATGTGCCAATTTCTGGTGCACAACATGTTTCAGTCATATGTATACATGCGTATATTCCTTTTCATATTCTTTTTCATTACAGGTTACTGCAAGATATTGAATCTAGTTCCCTGTGGTATACAGTAGAAACTTGTTGTCACTTACTTTTACTATTAATAGTGTAAATACTAACAGTATTAAAAGTCAGTAAGAGTTTAGGAGTATGAACCTAGCACATATCATTTTTAAAAATCATTCTAGTCTATATTTTATTTAATTACTTTATTTTTTGTTTTTATTGAAGTATATTTGATTTACAGTATTGTGTTAGTTTCTAGTGTACAGCATATTCAGTTATACGTATATATGTATTTTTTTTCAGATTCTTTTCCATTATAGGTTATTACAAGATATTGAATGTAATTCCCTGTGCTATACAGTAGGTCCTTGTTGTTTATCTATTTTGTGTATAGTAGTGTGTATCTGTTAATCCCAAACTCCTAATTTATCTCTCCCCAGCCTTTCCCCTTTGGTAACCATGTTTATTTTCTAACACACGTATCATTTTATAATTGCTTCCTGTATCCCACCTCATCAGACTCTTCAGGAGCTGGGAGTTCCTAGCAGTTTTTCTCTGACTCGGAATCCCTTTTCTCCCAAACTTTCAAAATCAACAGAAACCCATGGCGCATCTCCGCATCTCCAGTCGCCCCGCGGTCTCCACCGGGTCCCGCTCCCTGAAGCCAGGCCCACGAGGTCGTAGAAACTTCCCGCCAAGGTCCTCTCCCTTCTTGGCCGATACTGAGACTTCCTTCTCGATTCATTTGCTTGTCATCTGTCCTGAAGCGAAAAGTCAATTCGACATCTCCTTTGACAAGACGACTGGTAAGGACTTCCCTGTCCCGGTAAGTCCCAAGGACTTTTGTTTACTTCTTTACCCAAGTCGGTGCAGAGAGCGCTGCCTGGGGAGGGCCTCGGGGCGCCCTGGGTGCGCTCAGCACACCGGATCTCCAAGGGGTCCCCCGAGGGGTCCGCTGAGCTGCTCCCCCGTCCCTCTTTCCCTCCGTCCCTCTCTTCACTGTCCCCCACCCCATTTCTGCCCTCTCTTTTGGAAGTTAGTTATTATGACTCTTTACCATCTTCATCTCTTTCTAGGGAGCCAGTCCCTTCACACAGGGCACCCATTTCCCTCTGACACCAGGACCCACCACCTTCTCTTCCCAGGGGTTCCTCACAGTTTCACAGAAGAGCTTACATGTGAGGAGGGGAAAACCAGCAGCCCAGGTGAGTTCACCACCTTGTCAACTTTTTAGGGCTTTTACGAACACTTTATTAATAAAGGAGATAAGCCGCTGGCTGCAGGTATTTTCTCCACATTTGCCATTTGCTTGCCTTTGATTTTGTTTTTGACCTTATAGACGTTTATCTGCGTTTTTTTCTCTCTTTTTATGGCCTCTGATTTTGGGCTCCAGGGAAGGGAAGAAAGGCCTCTTCCCTCTGAGGTGAGATGATGAGTACACCCATCCTTGTTTTACTCTAGGATTTTCTTGGCTTCATTTCACATTCAAGTATCTGATCCACCTGGTAGAGAGATGAGTGTCTGATGTCCGTTCTGATGACTGGTTTTCCAGTTGTCCCACAGGCATTTATTAAGGAACCTAATTTTCAACAGTAATGTAAAATTTTATCTTTATTGTATTACATATTCTCATATATTTGAACAAACTTTTTTTTTTTTGGCAGGCGGGAGGTAATTAGGCCTATGTATTTATTTTAGAGGAAGTACTGGGGATTGAACCCAGGACCTCAGGCATGCTAAGCATGTGCTCTACCACTTGAGCTGTGCCCTCCCAGCTATATATTACATATATATTCCCAGCTACATACTTATATTCATACACACACATGCTGGACTTTGGGCTAGAAGAACTGAACTTACAATAAGCTGTTAATTATTGAGGAGAGGGACTGGGTGGAAAGAAGAAAGCATTCAGTTTTCACTATGTCTTTCTGTACTGTTCAGCTTTTCTCGTGATGGCATGTATTGCTTTTAAAAAAATTTACTGAAGTATTTTCGACTGACAATGTGTTAGTTTCAAGTGTGCAGCAAAGTGATTCAATTATATATATCTATTATTTTTCAGATTCTTTTCCATTATAGGTTTTTTTAAATTGAAGTATAGTCAGTTACAATGGGTCAGTTTCTGGTGTACAGCATACTGTCCCAGTCATGCTTTCCATTATAGGTTATTACAAGATATTGAATATAGTTCCCCGTGCTCTACCACAGGACCTTGCTGTTTATCTATTTAGTTAGTTATCTATTAGAGTTCCCTGTGCTGTATAGTAGGTCCTTGTGCTTTTTTATTGTCAGAAGGGTTTTCCTGGGTGTTATGTCATGGGACATTTCTGTTTTCTTTCTATTTGTTTATTTTTCTTAAATCCTAATATCTTAAAACCAAGATAAGGGGGATTTACTGGAAGATGCTGAGGTACCTCAATCAAAGGAGGCGTCAGGCAACCAGCCTGCAGGAGGAGACAAGCGCTGCTGGGTCTCAGGAATTTCTGGAATCAGGGCTGGGATCCGGGAGGTCCTTTCTTGTCTCTGCTTGTCTTGGTGCATCAGCTGCCTTCTCTCCCACCCCGTATAAAATGCGAGGAATGAACATGGGTGCCTTGTGCATCGTGCATCGTAATTTCATCTCTTGCGGCTCCTACAGAAGAGAGAGACCGACTTCCTGAGTTCCTATTTAACAGAATTCTCAGGAGGGACTTTCTTTGGCCTGGCTTGGGTCAGGTTCCCCCCTCTCTGGCCCCCTGCCCCATGGGCTCTGGCCGGCTTAGGGGTGTCTCTAAGTTGCTGGCAGATCCTCTGGGGTCGCAGAGTTGGAGAAGAACAGTCTCAGTAGAAGCGAGGGTGCTGGGAAGATAACACATTCATTTATCGTGACTCATCCATCCAGTCAACTTCTGTCAGGCACCTGTTACACCCTAGGCTCTGTGCTGTGTGCACACAGTCACCCAGCAAGGTCCCAGCCATCAGACAGCTGAGGTCCCAGTGAGGGAGGCAGGCTGGAAATCAGAGTCCTGGATCCGCCAGACCCACTGTCCCTGTTCGCAAGAGGAGTCCCTTCTGTTGTCTGTCGAGGGGCCTCGGCGGGCTGGCTTGGGGCCTCCGCTCTGTGAGGTGCTGATGGCTGAGACCCGGAGCCGGCGGGCCTGGCCGGCGGGGCGGCTGCAGCTGTTCCGAGTTGCCAGCCAAGAGCCAGTAGGTGAAGGGAGCGGCTTCCTGTTGAGCTGAGGTTTCTGGCTCTGGCTTGGAAGTCAAGGCGTCCCCAGAAACAAGCTGTCAGGCAGCCCGCGAGTTTTGGTGGAATTTTCATTGTAAAAAGGCAAAAGCCAGGGGGAGGGTATAGCTCAGTTGGTAGAGTGCTTGCTTTGCATGCATGAGGTCCTGGGTTCAATCCCCAGTACTTCCATTAAAATAATAAGTAAGTAAATAAGAACCCAATTACCCCCCTGAAAAAGACAAAAGCCAGGCCTGGATCAGGTGCCTGACTCCGCCACTTCCTTGGCAGGAAGTCTCAGTCCCTCAGGCAATGGTCCTGCCCAGGAAACTTGGAAAAAGACAGAGGGAGTTTCAGCTCTGATCCCATTACTGGTGGGAAGGGACTGCGGAGGGGGGGGGGGGGGGGGCGAGACGCCTCAGGGGAAGGTTTCTGACGTGCTGACTCTGCAAGAGTTGCCCGTGGGCTGAGCAAGACCGCTGCCCACGAGTTACAGCCCCTCTGGAGACTGCCACAAAGTGCTCTCCTGTAAATGTGACAGATGCCTGGGGCCAGCAACCCACGCAGCGATGCATGGGCTTGGGCCTCAAGGGATGAGGATTTCTACTCACTGTCCCTCACCCCAAACTGCTCTCCTCCATGCTGGCTGTTGGTCCAAGTGTGGATTTGCCCCAGCGTGTCTTACGTGATGCGGGGGACATGTGTGTGTGATGTATTGTTTATACGTGATATAGGAACGGTGGTTAAATTGAGGATTTAGCCAATAGTTTGGGGACTGGACAGAGATCACACCTGGAGGAGTTGTTCGTAAACCTGAGGACCCTGGACTCTGAGGCTGAGAACTTCTCCAAAGGGCCCCTGCCACCATTACTTTTGAAAGCAAGATATCAGGTTTCTGTCCTGCTGGGAAGGATAATAGTGCATCTTCCATTGTAGCAGTGAGAACAAGACCAAAACAGGGTATTTGGGGAACTAAATGTGTCGGGAGCTGGCCGGGTTGGTGAGGGGGTGGAAGGCGCTGGTCGCGTGGCCACACCCACCACAATTGGTAAACAGCGCATCAACTGCCACCCTTCCGCGCCTGCACCTGCTGCCTCCTGGCGTTAAGGCAGCAAAGGCCCAATTGGCTGCGTCTGCAGAGGGAAGCCAAGAGGTCGCTTTGGGGCCAAGACCATGGGGCAAATGGTGAGGAAGCCCTGAGAAAGCAGAGACCACACAGGAGAAAGAGGAGAGAGACAAAGTAGAGAGGAAAGGAAGGCATGAAAGGAGCCCAGAGTGGACAGAGCAGAGGCGGGAGTGGCCGGTCCCCTGGGCTGCCTTGGCTTCTGTCACCAGTCCAGCTTGTGCTAGTCCACGTGTAAACCTTCAGGAAACCTGGCTTGTGGATCTGACTTTGTGATGCACAGAAGCTAAGCGACACCTCCCTACAGCTCCCATGGCTTCTGCTTTTCACCTGGTGACAGTTCTGGTGTCACTGTCTGTTAATAGTTCTCTCCCTCTTTCTTGAGGCCACAGCTTATTCATCTCTTCAAGCAGAGCATCTGGCCCTGTGCGGGGAACCTTGGGGGTGCCTATTAATGTTCGAATAAAGACCTGCATCTTGGCCCAGCCCTCACCCAGAGGCTGTCGAACAAGCAGAAGCACCGACTTTAGATTCAATACACGTTATCAGCCACGTGCAGGAGGTAAGCTGGGCCAAGGAGGTTCTTTCTGGGCCTCTGAAGTGGAAAACCAGCAGTGAAAAGGCAGTTAGCTGCGGGAGCAGAGGCTTCAAGGGCGTGTGGGAAGTGGACAAGTTGCGTGGGTACTCTGGTGCTTGTCATGGAGGGCCAGTTATGAAGGACCTCACGGGTAGAAGGAGACCCACAATGGTGGACATCCTGGGGTTTTGTGACATGTAAAACACAGGTGTCCGTGATCAATAAAGCTGATTATAAATCTCATGCAGTTGCCAGTCTACTTGTGTAACTGTAATAGGGAGGAACCTTCATATTCCATTACAAGTTAATCACCAAAGGGATGTTGCCTATAAGCTTAAATTAGACGTAATGGCCCATCTCTGGGAACCTTGTCTTCCAGGTAATGAGCATTAAGCTAAAATATCTATGTTGAGCTCACAGGAAACACCCAGACCACGCCCACCTGTGAATGGCAAGGGGGTGAAATTAACCCATCCCTCCGGAGTCTGGCTGGAACCAGGGCTTGACCCCCTCCCCTTTTAGTTTAAACGACGCTGGAATTCCAACTTGGTGAAGATGGCTCTTTGGGGGTCCTAGTCCACCATCTTTTTGGTCTGCTGGTTTTCAGAGTAAAGTCATTATTCCTCGCCACAACAATTTATCTCTAGACTTGTTGGCCTGTTGTGCGGCGAGCAGTAGGAACTTGGTCTTGGTAACAAATTTTGGCCAGCCAAGAGTCTTGCTGCTGTGGCCAGCCAGCCCCGGCTGGGGAATTTTCTGGGAAGGTCCTAGTGGCTGCAGGACCAACTGTCCTGAGGATCTTTCCTTCAAATTTCCCAAAGTGGCACCGGCTGCCCCAGCGCTTGGCAGTTGGAGCCAGGAATCAACTTCTGGGAGCCAGTGGGCTCCATGCAGTAGGGTAAGTGGCTTCAGGGTGTACAGTTTGAAACATTATTTCCTCTCTGTTTAGGGCTTTTTTGCTCCAGAATGAACCAATTTGTTTTGTATTTGAGTAGGGTACCCTGTTGGAAAGAGGAAATAGTTGCTGGATTTTTACTCAGTTTGTGAAATGTTGTTTTTTTTTTTTCCAATGGATGCTAGCATTTGTGTGCATTGTTTGTTTGGTTTGCCTTGTATTTGTCTTTAAAAAATGGAGACAGTTTCAACTATTTCTAAAGAAAGTCCTCTGAGGTGCATTTTGGATGTCTGATTACAGCTAGGAAACCATGACAAAGAGGAAGAGTGTGTGACCACAGTACCTGTTCGGATCTCCACCAGGGGTTTAGGCAGGGTCATCTCGGGACCCTGTGTATCATGTACTTCCACCTTTGTGTTAATTACTTTGTTTGTGTCCCCTGTGTTGTTGGTATATGTAAAACCCCGAGGCCAAATTGAGAGTTTATTTAGGGTTTTCTGTTTGTTCTTTGGGTTTCTTGTTTCATTTAGTTTTGGTACTGTTTCTCCATTTACAGCCAAATCAGTTGATCTTTAAAACTTTTGCTGGTGTCAAATGGAGGAAAGGAACAGGAAAAGGGGGGGAAAACACCTGTCCTCGTCCAGAAGTGGGACGTTCCCAGGGAGAAGAGAAGGGTTCCCCTTGGTTCCTAAAACCTCCAAAAGCCCCCAGATCACCAAAACCCCCTAAATCCTCTGTGTGGTATTACATTAGGGTGGGAAAAAGTCAAGTTTTCACCTTAGGTTAAATAAACCCAAGGGAAAATCTGTTCATACAGGAAGAAAGAAAAGAAAAGGAATGAGGGTGAGGTGCCTATCTCTGGCTGAGCTGTTATGCCAATATATCCACCCTTCCACCCCCTCCCAACACTGGGGCTCAGGAAGTGGCCAGACTGGCATCCGTTCCTTACAAGAATCAATTAGAAAACCCTGCGCTGGTTCCTGGAGTGCAGGGACCTGGTCTCATATTGCCATCTAGGACCCAGCCGGAGCCAGGAGTCACTCCTGGGGCAGGGTAGATTCCCTTGTGCACTTAGGGAGCCTGCGTGCAAATGGTAAGCAGGCTGCGTATCTATGGATGCATAGTCCTTTCTTCACCCCAGACTTGTTTAGTTAGAAAGATCGCAGCCCTCCTTACAGGGAGGCTCCTCTGGGTGGAAGGAGGATGGTCATCGACTAGGCCGGGGAAGAAGCTGACCAGCTCCGCCTCAGACCTAGGTGGTCCACCTGAAGCCTGCTTGGCATCACCCCCAGCTGAACCAAATCGGGACTCCAATGAGGGAGGGACACCCTTACTGGAGCACTTCACTGTAAGCGCATCTTGGCAGAGCCTTGAAAAGGGGAACCAAAGCAAAAGAGCTTGAACAAAATTCAAGAAATTCAGTAAAAACCAAATGAAGATTTATAAGGCCAACAGAGCATACTGATGTAGATCCCTGAGGCCCCTGAAAATACAAAGCGCCCCAGTAGAAGAAAATGACAAAAGTTAAGATTGTATGTTTGGAATGAACCCCTCTCAGTTGGTAGATGTTGCTTTGAAAGAGTTCAGCAGCAGGGGACAAGGACAGGAGATGCAAAAAAAGACACCATATTTCTGGCGGTGGCATTGGATTCCTGGAAGGTGAGTCACCCAAAGAGAGGCAACCACCTTTGGGGAAGGAAGGATGCTCTTACTGTTAGAAAGAAGGGCACTGGGAAAAAAGATTGCCTTAGGCTAAATAGGAAGGAGGGGAATAAAAGATGGGAGTCGCTCGGCTGGAAGAAGGAAAGGACCACTGATGAATGAAGAGGCCCAGGGGTTCCCTTGGCCTTAAGGTGCCCAGTTCCAATTTCCCCACAGGAGCCGCGGGTAAAATTAACAGTGGGGAACGAGCTGATTAACTTTCTGATGCAGGTGCAACATACTGTGGTGAACACCAGTGTGGCACAGAACACACAATCCATCCTGGTCATGAGAGTCCCTGGAGGAGTACAAAATCCTTCATTCTTATACCCTCCAGGATGCCAACTAGGGGACCTCACTCTGAAACAGTTTCTTCTATATGCCAGAGTGTCCAGTCCCTCTCCTTTGTAGGAAAGGACAAAGCGAGGGCCATAGAGTAGGGTTTCAGACCTCCCCAGATGGGGTCTCAACACATAGGAACCTGCCCTGCCGAGAGCTAGCCAATAGACTTGACTCAAATGCCTTGAGCTGTAGAACATTTCCCATAGCTGCTGGTGTTTGTGGACACTTTTTCAGGATGGGGGGAAAACCATATCCCACCCAGACAGAAACAGCTTCCAAAGTGGGTAAAGCCCTCCTTGAGGAGATTGTCCTCTGATTTGTATTAAAGCATTGCAAATTATTTGGAAAATACATTCATCTTGGAGACTACAATCAACAGGAAAAACATGAGAAAATGAATGATGCATTAAAAAGGAGCATTGCTAAGTATGTCAGGAGACTAATTTAACTTGGGATAAGATCTTGCCAGTTGCCCTGCTATGGATCAGAGTGGTTCCCAGAAGCAGGCTTAAATTAAACTCCTTTGAAATACTGCGTGGTAGGCCATTCCAGTGTCTGCCCAGGCAGGAGAATCTATAAATGCTCTGAGGGACCTAGCGGCTGCCAATTATGTTAAAACTTTGGGCACTGTTGGTCTCTGTTCATGAGTGTGCCTCCAGCAGATCCACCTATCCAAGTGGAGTAGCTTTACATCCTTTCTGACCCTGAGACCGAGTCCTCCTTAAAACCTGGAGAGAACAAGGGCCTGAACTTCAGCTGCCTGCCTGGTGGACAGGAATGCACGTGACACGCACTCGCCTGTTAAGCAAGCTACGGTAAAGCTGTGGATTCATCCCACTTCGGTTAAAAGAAGCACCACTGTCCTTTAAAAAATGACCCAACTTCTGAGAGGCCTGGGGACCTTTAGAACCCTTTAGGTTGTGAACCCTTAGAATACTTAAGGTTGCTCTTCATAATCTCAATACTTATTTTTTTTAATTCCATTGTAGATGGAGACAGGTTAACCTATTTAATTTTTAAAAGCATTTTATTTTATTATTTTTTAATGGAGGTACTGGGGACTGAACCCAGGACCTCGTGCATGCTAAGCCTGTTCTCTACCCCTGAGCTATAACCACCACCATAATCTATTTAATTTTGTCCAGATAAATAGCACAGGAATTTAGTGTAATCACGGCACAAAGTTAAAATTCATAGATAATGTGTTGGGAGGTGGAACCAAAACCCCAAGTTCAATTACAAATTAAGACGACAAAGTGCTGAGGGGTTCCATCAAGTTCAAATAGTTGTAGGTTAAAAAAGCAAAGAGGATTGTACTGCTGACTAAAGTTTAAGGAGTATTCCCTGTCCAAGGCTGATCCATTCATTCCATAATCGCCTTTACTTTGTCCTCATTACGCAGGAAGTAGCCAGGGTGGTCTTTGCCCCCTTTCCCACAGGACTGTGGAATGGGTCATTGACAGTGGGGAATTGTAAAAGGGAAGAACCTTCATGTTCTATTACAAGTTAATCACTAAAGGGATGTTGTCTATAAGCTTGAATTATACATAATGGTCCATTTCTGGGAACCCTGCCTCCCAGGTGATGAGCGTTAAGCTAAAACACCTTTGAGCTCACAGGCAACATCCTGACCAAGCCCGCCTGTGAATGGCTGGCTGCAGGCGGGATGAAACTAACACATCCCCTCCAGAGCCTGGCCGGAACCAGTTTCTTTTAGTATAAAAGAAGCCTGAATTTTAACTTGGGGAAGGTGGTTCTTTTGGGGCACTAGTCCACCATATTCTTGGTCTGCTGGCTTTCTGAATAAAGTTGCTACTACCTCGCCCCAATGACTCATCACTGGATTTGTTGGCCTGTCATGTGGTGAGCAGTACAATCTTGGTCTCTGACCTTGGACATGACCTAGTTGTCTTTCATACATACTGCTCTGTTGGATTAGTGTGAGGAAGCCACGTGTAAGACATGAAAAGTGCTTTGTCCACTACTTTCTACCCCCATGAGGAAACATATGGGTAGCTTCTTAAATAAAACAGATTCCTGGCTTCCCATCTCTGTCATCTTCCTAAATTGAGATTCTTTGGGAATGGAGCCTAGAAATCTGAGTTTTAAATAAGCATGTCCTGTGATTGATTAGGTTGGTCCAAGGAGACTTAGAAAAGACTGAAAGAATGGATTAAGGTGCGTGTGTGTTTGGGGTAGGGGAAGACAGTACTTTGATCTGTGGCCACAAGGTGGCAGCAGAGGGAGGTAAGGAGAAACTAGCGTCTCAGGCACCCAGAGGGGCTGGGGTTGGGCCGACACTGGGATGGGTTCTGGGAGGAGGCAGGCCCTGTATTGCTTCAAGGTCTCCTTTGCCAGGTGGAGTCTGTTACTGCAGACGAATCCCCCATAACCGCCTGTCTCATTACCAGATCTTTAGGGACACTCTGCTTTTGCCAAACTCTGCCGGCAGAAACTGCATTAGTGTGACCTTGGCCAGGCTGTGGGTGGTGGTAATGTGTGTTCCATGTGGGTGAGTATGGGAGGCAAGGGATGTCACCTGCACAAGGCAGCTTACTTAAAGGACACCTGTGCATTGTTGAAAGCAGGGCCTTCCACCTCCCCGCCCACCCTTTGCTGCCAGGCTTGTGGTTCCAGGTGTTCTTAAAGGACCAATCCGCCTGCGCTGGGCCTGCTCCACTCATGAGAGGATTGGGTCTGTGGCTGGGGAGCTGACCGAAGACCAGGCAAAGGCTACTGGGACGGAGTGGGGGCAGGGAATACAAGATGGGGCAGCTGCCGCTGGGAGCAGCCAAGATGTCCCTGGCTGCAGTAGGGGTGGTAAAAGGATTAGGTGACAGTCCCCTAACCCAGCCCGGAACTAACACCCTCCTCCCCCTCACTCACACACCCTGGCCTGCCCCCCTCCAAGCCTGCCAAAGCTCAGAATAACCCCAGGGCTAGATGGCAGGATGGCGGGGGCTCTGCTTGGTGCCTTGCTCCTCTTGCAGCTCCTTGGTATGGTCAGGGTCGGGGGAAGTGGTCGGGCACACACACAGGATACTGATGTAAAGGGACAGCACAAAGACAGGGACCGAGACACGATTTTTGGTTTCCAGGCACACTATCACTGGTTCAGGAGACAGACATGAAAAAATACACAGCCTCAGAGACAGGCACACAGAGAAACAGCCTTGCAGACCCAGGGGCGGAGAGGAGGCTCCTTAGCCAGTCCATCTCCAGTGAGCCCACTGCTTGGCCCCTTCCCCAGGCAGAGGTGAGGGGAAGAATGAGGAACTGCGTCTTTACCACCACCTCTTGGACAACTATGACCCAGGACGCCGGCCAGTGCAGAAGCCTGAGGACACTGTCACCATCACCCTCAAAGTCACCCTGACCAACCTCATCTCACTGGTAAGATTCCCCACCTCCACCCCAGTGCCGTCTCTGAGCCCAAATCCCAACCGCTGAGCTCAGTCCTAAAGCTCGCACCAATCACCCTAATCTTCCATTTGCAGAATGAGAAAGAGGAGACCCTCACTACCAGCGTCTGGATTGGAATCGTGAGTCCCGTCTGGGGTACAGTGAGGTCTTACCCAGGGGCTCCCTTTCTCCCAAACCTCTGGCAGGCCCCAGGGCACACGTCCTTGCGTCCCCTCCCTCTTAGGACTGGCATGATTACCGACTCAACTACAGCAAGGACGACTTTGGGGGTGTAGAAATTCTGCGGGTCCCTTCAGAGCTCGTCTGGCTGCCTGAGATCGTGCTGGAAAACAAGTGAGGACCCGGCCACAATGGAGGGAAGCCGAAGCCTTGGGGATGGGCTGGACTTGGCTGGGGCAGGAGTGTTGCTTGGACGGGGAGGGGGCCGAGGACCTGCGCAAACGCTCGGTTTCCCGGAGCCCACAGTATCGACGGCCAGTTCGGCGTGGCCTATGCCGCCAACGTGCTGATTTCCGACGGTGGCTACGTGAGCTGGTTGCCCCCGGCCATCTACCGCAGCACCTGCGCGGTGGAGGTCACCTACTTCCCCTTCGACTGGCAGAACTGCTCGCTCATTTTCCGGTAGGAAATGTTACTCCAAGGCCCAGATGATTCAGGGATTATGGGGACAGGGGGCGGGGCGCCTAATCTAGGGCAGGGCTTTGTGCTGGAGGCGGAGCCAGACATTTGGATGGAGTGGGGCGGCTCGAGCCGGTTAGAAGTAGGGGTGAAAACCGAGGCGTGGAGGCGGGGCCTGGGTAAAGGGGTGGGGCGTAAGCCCCGCCCCCATGCCAGATCCCGGCATCCAGAGCCGGGCCTGAGAATGGGGCCCAGGTCTGAGCCTCAGATTGCGGGTCCGAGCATCTCAGGTGGGGGCCTCGACCCTGGCTCCGCAGCTCTCAGACGTACAATGCTGAAGAGGTGGAGTTTGTCTTTGCCAAGGACAACGGTGGTGAGGACATCAGCAAGATCGATATCGACACTGAGGCCTATACCGGTGAGGCCTCCTGCTCCAAAACACCCGCTTCTAGACCGGTCCAGAGAGGGAACTCGCTGAGTAGGGTTGCCCTAGGCCATCGATGCTGAAATCGACTTTGGCAACCGCGCTTCAACCTGCCCCTTTTATGAAATCACTTTTGTCAGACTGGTCCCGCTTTCTCGCTTGTGGCGGTTCCATCCCCTCCCGGGAATGCCCCTTTTGCTTCAGTTGTCTCAAGCCGGCGGCCCATGGCTCAGGCAGTCCAGACCACCTGCCCCACCCACCCTGGTCCAGACGGTTTGCATCCTCTCCTCACTCGGAGTTACGGGCTCCCGAGGTCAAGTGTGGGGCGGGAGAGCAGAGCAGGCGCCCCACCCCCCGACAGCGGGCTGACCGCGCCTCCTGTCCTGCAGAGAATGGCGAGTGGGCCATCGACTTCTGCCCCGGCGTGATCCGCCACCACAACGCTGGCTCCGCTGATGGCCCCGGGAACACTGACGTCCTCTACTCGCTCATCATTCGCCGGAAGCCGCTATTCTACGTCATTAACATCATCGTGCCCTGCGTGCTCATCTCGGGCCTAGTACTGCTCGCCTACTTCCTGCCGGCCCAGGGTAAGGAGTGGCCCCGACCCCAAACCTAGTCTCGCTCCTGGAGGGTGGGGCCTGCTCTCACCAGGCACTCCCTCCAGCCGGTGGCCAGAAATGCACTGTCTCCATCAACGTCCTGCTTGCCCAGACCGTCTTCTTGTTCCTAATTGCCCAGAAAATCCCAGAGACGTCTCTGAGCGTGCCGCTACTGGGCAGGTGAGGGCAGAGTGTGTTGCGTGGTTGGTGTAAAGGGCGGAGCCAGACGAGCATGGGGTGGGGTCGGGGGCGCGGCTGGGGAGGGCGGGGCCAAAACCACTCTGGGAAAAGTCTTGGCTGTCTCCTCCCCACCTGGGCTTTATTTGGATGTGGGGTGGAGCTAGGACCGTGTTGGGTTCTCTGGTCCTCTGTCCTCCGCACTGCTGCTGGACGCCACCTTGAGGTCTCCTGAGTATCTCTGTTGGGGCGGGCTGGCTCAGTGCCTACCCAGCTCCGTCACGTCTGGCATCCAACTCTCCCCTAACCCCAAACTCACCGGTTCCCCGGGGGTTTCGAGGCCCAGCTGGCACCGCCACTGTTGCAGGAATGAGGTGGACCCCTGCAGACCTCGTCCACACAGGCATAGCCACACCCCCTGGAGCAGAAGCTGGGCGGTAGCGCCCGCAGCAGCACTAGCTTGCTGAGCCCCCTCCTGTACGATATGGGCTACCCGGGCCAAGGCTCCACCCGGATCCCCAGAGCCTGGATCTGGGCCCTGGCTGCCGTCGCCACCGTCTAGTCGTCGCACCTCCTGCTGCACCCACAGGGCTGAGATCTGCAGTGGGGGTACAGGAGTTGGTGGGAATGCAGGGGTCCCAGCTCCCGCTGCTCGATCCCCCTTCCTCGCCCCTCCTCAGCCCCCCAGTGCTCCACCTCTAACAAGGTGGCCCCGAAGTTCACAAGGCTGGCCGTGGCTTCTCTTAGCAGCAGCCCCAGGGTGGGTTTTGGGGCGAGTGGCTTCTCTGGCTCCCCTGGCTCAAGGGACTTAAGCTCTCTGAAGCTCTGCTCCAGATATTCATGGGCTGCGGCCACAGCAAGTTCCAAGGAAGAAAGAAGTGGGGGCTGGAGGGCCACCTAGAAAGGCAAAGGGGCAGTGGAGTCATGGGGCAGAGGTCATAGAGGAAAACGCTGGAGATCTCAGAGGGTATCGAGGTGCCAAACTTGGGGGGGGGCTTGTCATAGCCTCACCTCCGTGGAGCTGTGGAAGTGGTAGACCCACAGCAGGGTTTCCAGGGAGCTGGGAGTCTCCTTCATGGTTGCCACTGGCCGTAAGAGGGACAGAAGGGGCGGGGGATGCGTCTGGCCCCACAGAGGAGAAGCAGCTGAAGGGTATAACTCCACCCCTTGATGAGAAGCGCGTTTGTGAGGTCAGAAGATGAGCAGCCCCCTCTGTGGGTCAGGGTAAGCGGGGAGACTGTGACGGCAGCCAAGTCAGAAGATACTGTGCCCTCACTCACTCCGGGCTTGTCAGGTACCTCATTTTCGTCATGGTGGTTGCCACACTCATTGTCATGAACTGCGTCATCGTACTTAACGTGTCTTTGCGGACACCCACCACTCACGTCATGTCCCCGCGGCTGCGCCACGTAAGTGCCAAAGTGCCGGGTGGGTGGCTCCGCATGCGAGGTGGGGCTTCGCTTTAACCCCGCCCCATCCCGCCCCGCCCCCGCCCCGCCCCCAGGTCTTACTGGAGCTGCTGCCGCGTCTCCTGGGCTGGGGCCTGCCCCCTGAGGTTCCCCCGGCAGCCTCGCCCCCAAGGCGGGCATCGTCCCTGGGCCTACTGCTCCGCGCGGAGGAGCTGATACTGAAAAAGCCGCGGAGCGAGCTTGTGTTTGAGGGGCAGAGGCACCGGCACGGGACCTGGACCGGTGAGAAGAGTGGCCCGGGGTAGGGGGTGGGCAACCGGGGTGCCTGCAGCGGGGGCGGCTCCTAGTCACCCGCCCTCGGTGTCGCCCCTACCAGCTGTCCTCTGCCAGAGCCTGGGCGCCGCCGCCCCCGAGATCCGCTGCTGTGTGGATGCTGTGAACTTTGTGGCCGAGAGCACCAGAGACCAGGAGACCACTGGCGAGGTGGGGCGCTGCGGGGGCCTCCGCTATTCTTGCTATCCCTGGCTCTCGTGCAGCAGGCTCCTGCAGCCTTTAGGGACTCAGCTTGTGCCTGCTCCTTCCCCAGGAGGTGTCCGACTGGGTGCGGATGGGGAAGGCCCTTGACAACGTCTGCTTCTGGGCCGCTCTGGTGCTCTTCCTTCTCGGCTCCAGCCTCATCTTCCTCGGGGCCTACTTCAACCGAGTGCCCGAACTGCCCTACCCGCCGTGTATGCAGAACTGAGCCCGCAGCCACATTCCCACAGTCTCCAGGAGGAAAGAGATCTTGAGGAATAAGTTGCTGCCACTGCTTTTGTGAGCCTTTCCCCCTGCTGATAAGTCTGTCTTCTGTAAACTTCCCAAGGGGAGTCGTGTGTACATGTGTGTAGATTCCTGGCCACTGTGCAGGAATCAAGAGTGGGCAGATGGCTCAGGCAGGCTCTTGGAGCCAATCCTCCAGAAAGCAAGGTCCACCCTCAGTTGAGTCTTGCTGACCTTCCAGTTCTTCTCGGGCCCCAGCCCCATGTGATCCTCTAGCCCTGTGAGCTTCTAAGAGATATGTATCCCCAGATAAGAGGAGACCCCTTTGCAGGAGTTGTACAGAGGGAGGCTGGAGCCAGGAAGCCAGGTCCCTGTGTGGCCTTGCCAGGCTCAAGTGGGCAGGCACCAAATGGCCTCAGGTTTAAGGCTGACGATGTCCCAGCTCTCCCTCAGTCATTTCCTCTAAGTTTCCTTGGCCCAGCACTGCCCACCAAGACTCACTGATTGCAGATTCCATCCCACCCTGCCCTGTTCATCCCAGCTCTGCTGGCTTGCCCTGGCTAGTACCCAGGATTGTGAGAGAAAATAGAACAAAGGGGGGCCTGAAGTGGTGGGAGCTGGTTGAATTGTCTTTATTAACAAACGGGATATCCAAGGCCACTACATTGAAGAGGAGTGGGGGCAAGGAGAGGACGGGGCTACTTGCTGCTCACACTATATACAGATGCAAGCAAGGGGGTGTGGAGGGGAAGAGCTCCCTGCTCCCTCCCTCCACCAGGGCAGAGGCTAGAAGAGATAGGGGTTGGAAAGGGAAATGTTTTGGCTGGCGGGGGTCCCCCCTCCATTCCCTGGGGTTTGGGGGGAGGGGAATCATTAAAGTGCTTTCAGAAAATGAGGAAATGGTCCCTGCCCCTGGAGTGGCTGGTGACCTCCCTAAATCCTAGGGCCCAGTGACCCCCCCCAGGGTCTGGTACATTCAAGGGGGGAGCCGGCTCCCCTGACGTGCAAATAAAGGGACCCAGGGCCCTGCCGAGTCAGCAGCAGTGGGGTACGGGGGTCCAAGCCCCAAGCACTCTCCTCTTAAGTGGAGAAAGGGGGGTAGGGCTAGGCCCACTCAATTCCTGGTTAGGGGGAGCTGTGCCTCTCCCCAGAAGCTGGGACAGGCACAGTTTTGGGGAGAGAACATGTTGGGGAAGAGGACGGTCACGTGATCACAAAAGCATCAGGGGTTAGAGGTCACGTTCCCAGCAGGCTCCAGTGAATCAAACCAGTAAAAGCAAAAGCCCAGGGAGGGAAGAGAAGGGCGGCCCAGGAGGTCTGGCTGTTGGGGGAGAGCTGGTCTGCGTGGGATAGTCCAGCCCAGGGCCCCGTCACCAGTTCATGATGCAGTTACGGTTCAGGGTCATGAAGTAAACTTGGCTGCTGCCCCCAGAGCGGACTGAGGCAAAAAAACACCTGGGTGGGGGAGGAGACACAGTCACCAAGGGATAGGGGGTGGGGGTGTCTCAATTAACTGGGAGAAGGAAAGAGGAAGAAAGAGAGAAACTGCAGAAGTTAGTCCCTCAGAATGCCCCCAGCCCCAGGGAAAGGCAGGGACACCTAGAGAAGAGGGGAGACTGGCAGACCTCTGGGATGAAGGAATCTGGAGAGTTCTCAGAAACTGAAGGCGAGGGAAGGGCAGGCTGTGACTGCACAGTGCGCTCCCCAAGCGGGGGGGCCCTTTCAAGAAGACCCATAACCACCCCTCCCCCAACTCTGCCCAGGGGCCCAGGGCGAGGGCTGCCCAGTGCAGGGGAAGGGGCTCCCACCTTGTCATTCCGCTCACACAGGAACTTGAGTCTCTGGGCTCGCTTGTGCATGAAGACCCCGTCCAGGTGGCCCGTCTCCACAGAGCGGATCTCAATGGCTTTCTCACCCCAGCCCATGATCTGGTTGGAGCAGATGTAGGCTGGGGAGAAGGGAGCAGAGGGGCCATGAGAGGCTGCAGCTCCACTCGGGTACACGGCTTGGGGGGTGGGCACCACACTCACCCACAGAGGTGGGCATCTCTCCCCACTGCAGCACCACGTCCTTAATGATCCGCCCGTACGTGTTGACGTAGACGCCCTCATCCTCATAGCACAGCAGCATCTCCATGCCGTCGGTGTTGGGGAGGAAGATGATGGCATGGGGCGTGATCTGGCTCTGGATCTGGGGAGGAGAAGGCAGGCTAAAGGCACCGAGCCTGGGCCGAGACTGGTGGCCCCACTCTGAGGTGTGGCCCCGCCAGGCTTACGTGCACGGGGATATAGATGTCATAGCTGTTCCCCGAGTCGACGTCCACTGCGTGGAAGCCGGCACTGGAGCCATAGATGACCTTGAGCCGCTGTCCCTCCTCTACTGTAAGGTCGACCAGCAGAGGGCGGTGCGGGAGGTCAGCAAAGGACTGTGGAGGAGACAAGGGCTCAGGGGATATGGGTGGAGGAGCCAGGCCTTGGGACAGTGTTGGGGGCTGAGGCTGGGGTTACCTTGAAAGCCATGAATTTGTGGTAAGGTTTGGGGGCCCAAGCATACACCTCCACGGAGTTCTTCAGGGCGATGACCAGGAACTTGATACGTTCGTATTTCACTGGGGGCAGGAAAGAAGACAGATTCGGGGACTTCCCTTCTTGGGCTGTGGCCTTTCCCACAGGTCTCTCTATACCCCTAACCCCAGGCCTGGCTTCAAGGCTCTCTCAGCCCTTAAGCCCAGGACCCCGTTTCTCTCTTCTCATACAAATGTGTCGTGACCTCCTCACCAACACGGTAGTGCCCGCAGCCCTCCATGTCCCCCACAGTGGTCCATCCCTGCTTCTTCTCCACTTCCGGGTCATTGTGCAGAATCTTGTTCCGGAGCCAGGACAGGTAATACACCCGCAGTTTGTTCCTTTTCCCTGAGGGGCGGACACACACACACTCCCTCATCAGAGGTCCAGCTTCTGCCTCCCCGCCATCCTTTGTGTGCGTACCACGAAGGGTGAGAAAGTGTAGCCCCACCTTCCGGCTCCTGGACCAAGGCTGCCCTCCTCCCAGGCTGAAGATGGAGACAGAGCCGAGGAGCTGAGCCCCCTCCTCCCGGCCCGTCCCGCCCTCGCCCTCCACACACACCTGAGATGGTGATGAGCAGATTGAGTCCCTCTAGCACATCCATCTGCTGGAAGCGTCGCCGCCCGATGAGCCCGTACACTTTGCCCTGCCCGCTCCGGTCCAGCAGCATCAGCCCGTTCTCTGTGCCCACCAGCAGGTTGACCCCTGCAATAGGAGCCCTTGGGCAGATCAGAGGCAGAGCCAGGCCCTCACCTGACCAGGAGCATGGGGGTACACCAGACCCCTCTTTCCCCTCCCGGCCCTGGCTTACCCCAGAGGGCTGCACAGAGGATCTCAGAGTTGAACCGCTTCTTGTACTTGCGGATCTCGGGGGTTTCGCTGTGGGCCCGGGTGTTGGTGGGGTTCACGTTGACCACAGAGCCTTTCCTCACGTCGTACTGAAGCTGATCAAGCCGGCTGCCCTCTCCGCCCACCAGGGCTGCCAGGAGGAGGAGCAGGGAGGGGAGTGGACTGTGGCCCTCTGACCCTGTCTCTCTTTACCCCACACCCCACATTTGGTCTTGGCTTGTCAGAATACTCAGAATGGAAGGGAAAGACTGGAGAATGGAGGAGGAGCCTGGAGGAACTGGAACAGAGTCAGGAGGCCTGGCAAAGTCCCTGTTCTGTCATGCAGATCCCTGGGCCACCACTGAACATTTTTCCTCTTGGGTCAAGGGGGGCCCCAGAAGTCCTTGCTGCTGAGGTGCCAGGGTGGGTGCTCAGGCCACAGGGGAGGCTGTGATCGCTTTGTGAAGCTGTGCTGAGGCCCCCCGTGCCCGTCCCCAGGCCTCCTGTCCTCACCTGTGATGGGAATGGTGTCCCCACTGCCTCCGGGCTGGTAGATCCCCAGGTCCACAAACATCGTGAACGAGCTCTTGCCAGGGGCCTTTACCAATCCCCGAGACTGGTACTGCAGGGTGGGGGCAGCAGTCAGGCAAACATACCAGACCCCCACCCACAACCTCCTCCTGCTATTGTCCCCTGGCCAACCAGCACCCCTGGGTCTCCTGCCCACGCCAGTGATCTCTTCTTTCCCCATGGAGTTGCCTTCACCCACTTACGTCACTGCCTCCATCCTTCAAGGGCGGGCTTTGACCTTTGCTGCTCTCGGTGGGCGAGTGGCTGGGCTGGACCACATCTGGCAGGTTTGTGTAACCGTTGCTGTCAGAATGCATCAGGCTTCGCTCCTCTTCAGGGGTCTAGAGGAACAGAGGGAGGGGCCAGTGCTGGGGCCGAGGGGGGTGCACGGCAGGCACGGGGAAGAGGGCGGGCCCACTCACGCGCTGGACCACCATGGTGCCCCCCCCGTAGGGGGTCTGGGTCCCGGCTATCTCCTCCACATCGTGGACCACCATGGTGCTGACGCTGTCGGTGTCTCCATCACTGCTACGAGAGAGAGGAAGATCAGGAGGTCCTCCAGGCCCTGCCTGTCACCCAGGTGCCACCCAGGTGCCCCAGGGAGCAGATGAGTGCAGGAGGACGGGCACCTGCAGCGTCCATTCAGAACACGCTGCCCTGGGCTCTCCCCTGTAGCCTCAGCACTGGCTGGCTGGGCCAGCATCTGGGGAAGGCTGGGCAAGAGGCACCCGGAGAGGCCCGCCCCCAGCCCTGTACCCCTTTCTCCAGAGAAGGGGAGGAAGAACTAGCCAGCAATGACAGCTGGGTCCCTCATGCTGGAAAAGGGAACCAATTGCCCTCAGACGCCGCCCCCACCCTGCCCCCAGGACACCCCCATACCGGGCCCCAGGGGTGTCTCTGCTCCCCTCCGATGGGTCACCGTTGCTCTCCTCCTCCTCGTCCTCGCTGCTCTCCACCTCCTCGCTGGACGATGAGTAGTCCATGGCCTTCTTGGGAGGCCGGGGGGCCTCGTCCAGGGCCCGCTCTTTCAGCAACACAAAATCCTACAGAGGAGAAGCTGCGTGAGGGGTGGGAGGAGGCCGTGGTGCACAGGGAGCCAGAGAAGGGGCAGGGTAACAGGAGGGGCTCCCGCGAGCAGA